TTTTTTTTTTTTTTCTGAAGACACTCCCACCCCATTTCTACAGATGCTAATAGATCTCCATTGCTGATCCTAACTCAAAAGGCGTGGCTTTCTCTCTTCTCCCTCTTCCTGGCAGCTACCTTCCTTGTTTTTGTTTCAAACTCTAATATCATGGTCCTCAAGCTTTAAAATAAAATTAAAAAAAAAAAAAAAAAGCCATGGGGTTGCAGATGTAGCTCGATGGTGGAGTATTCCTGCCTAGCATGTACCAAGTCCTGGCTTTGAGCCCAGCGTCTCTCTCCCTCTCCCCCTCCTGACCCATACTCCCCTTCAAGGGACTAGACTGCAGCCTGCTTCTACCACTTGGTAGCTATGTGGCCTCTCGATGGTTAGTCAACCAGTCTGATGTATTAACACCCCAGCCCCTGTTAAAATGAGCAAAATAGTTAGGTGGTGGTGGCACACTCCTGTGATCCCAGCACTCGGAGGCAGAGGCAGGAGGATGTCTGAGTTTGAAGCCAGCTTTGTCTACAGAGTTTCAGGGCAGCCAGAGCTACACAGAGAAACCCTGTCTCAAACTCCCCCTCAAAAGGGAAGGGGTAAAGCAATATACTTCCTGTAAGGATGTTGTGTAGACGAAATGATTCGTTACATCTCAGGTATGTGTAGTTCTGGATCATAGTACACGAACATGAAGACCTGTCGCTGTTGTGGGTGCTCACTGCAAGGTGCTGTATCCAGAGGACATGCAGCCATCCAGGACGTTATCTTTGCCCTTCAGGACAGGAAGTTTGGTGGTACATGCCTGTAATCCCAGAATTTGAGAGGAAGAAGCAGTAGGATTGTTGCAAGCTGGAGGCTATCCTGCTCTTCATAGGCCAGAGCTACATAGTGAGACTTTGTCTCAAAAAAACTAACAAAATGTTAGTGTGGGTGGTGCACCCAATTGGTGATGGCAGAAGGGTCAAATCCAGCCTCAGTCATACCGTAAGTTCAGAGCCAGCCTGGGTTACATAAGACCCTGTCTCAAACCGGGCCCACCTCCGAGTCGTTTAAGTGTACAGTTTGCAATATAAGCGTGGTGGCACACACTTGTAATGCCAGCATTTGGGAAACCGAGACAAGGAGCCGCAAAGTTCAAGGTCAGTGTGGGGCTAGACGGTAAGACGCTGGAGAGGTGACCTTCTGTGAGCTAATCCCATCATGCCTCATTCTTCCCCTATGAGGATATGGTGGCGGATTCTAACCCCTTGCTCAGTGCCCAGCATGCAGATGGGCTCGTGCTTGTCCGCTGTCCCCTGCCTGTGCTAGAGCTCACTTGGACAGAGGGGACAGAGCAGTGCCCGAGTGGTTCAGTCCCTGCCTTCCTTCTTTCCTCCTCTTCTCCTCCCTTCTTCTTTCCTGCCTTCCTTCTTTTCTTTTCTTCTTGTTTTTGAGACAGTCTCACTCTATAGCTCTGGCTGGCTTAGAACTCTCTGCTTAGACCAGGCTAGCTGTGAACTCAAAGAAGTCTGCCTGCCTCTGTCTCCAAAGTGCTGGGATCAAAGGTGTGCGCCCCCACTCCCACCTCACCCCTCTACTTTTTCCTTTTTCTTTTTGAGTCTTCTGATGTGGCTCTGGCTGGCCTGGAATTCTCCACAGGCTTCCTGCCTCCTCCCAAGTGTTTGATCACAGGCAAGTGCCATCATGTCCAATTCTGCAATTTGATGATTTTGTTTTGTTTTGTTTTGTTCAGAGGAGACAGGGTCTCATTCTAGTCCAGGCTGGTCTGGAAATATACTGTAGTTTTCTCAGCCTCCGAAGTCCTGGTATTATAAACATAAACAATCACTATATTATTATTATTTGGTTTGGTTGTCTTTTGTTTTTGAGATAGGATCTTATGCAGCCCAGGCTGGTCTCGAACTCATTAAATAACCAAAATGACCTTAGACTTTTTTTATTTGTTTGTTTGTTTGTTTTTAGTTTTTCTAGACAGAGTTTCTCTGTGTGCCTCTGGCTGTCCTGGAACTCACTCTGCAGACCAGGCTGGCTGCCTCTGCCTCCTGAATGCTGGGGATTAAAGGCGTGTGCCACCACTGCCGGGTCCAAATGGCTTTTAATATGCTGATTTTGACCAATACTGCTCATACTTAAGTGTTCCACAAATCTCAAAACAATGCAGTGTCTCATTCAGCAGACCTGAGAAACTGCATTTCTTCTTTTGCTTTTCATTTTTACCCCTCGAGACAGGGTTTCTCTGTGTAGCTTTGGAGCCTGTCCTGGAACTCGTTCTGTAGACCAGGCTGGCCTCGAACTCACAGAGATCTGCCTGCCTCTGTCTCCTGGGTGCTGGGATTAAAGACGTGTGCTACCACCGCCCGGCTGCTTTACATTTTGTAAAATTTGTGTATTTGTGTGTGTGTGTGTGTGTGTGTGTGTGTGTGTGTGTGTGTGTGTGTCCCCGCGCCCATGCGCGCGCCCTCGCCGGGTGGGAAGCATGTTACAGTGATGGTGTGGAAGTCAGGACAACTTATGGGAGCTGATTCTTTTCTTCCACCATGTGGGTCACAGGGATCACACCCAGGTTGTCAGACTTGTGACATACTCCTTTACTTTCTGAGCCATTGAATCAGCCAGAAACTACATTTCTGGTCAGACCCCAGATGCTGCTGCTGCAGGTCTGTCGAATTCATTTAGGTAGACAAGATTCTGGAGCCAGGTTTCCCGAAGGACTGACAGTGAGATCTTTGCAAATACTACTGTGCCTCACTTTCCTGGTATGCAAAATAAAGCCCAACTCGGTCCATCCCTGGAATGCACCTTAAGGCAGGAGTGACTCAACTATGCTGCTATTACCGCATCCCCTCGAGCAATGAAGTAAGGCGCACACATGAATGAATGAATAAATCTGGCCACTAATTCTTTCCTGGGTAGCTAGAGTCACGACAGGGCCCATTGATGGGGAAGAACGCACCCTCCCAGAATGTGCTCTCCACCCTCTTGGTCAGGAGGGCCCCGAGGGCCCGGAAGCCTGCAGGCCAGCGCTCAGCGGACCAATGGGGCTGCGGGGAAGGAGGGGCTAGCGCCCGCCAGCCCTTTCCGTCCGCGGCCCCGCCCCCTTGGAACGTTGTGACGTCGGAGCATTCCACGGTTGCTACATCGTCGCGAGGGGCGGGGCGCCTGTCAGGGAAGCGGTGCGCGCGGGTGGCGGGCGGGCTGGGGCTTCTCCATACAGTGCCAGCGCCAGCGCCAGACCCGCCCGCACCCCGCGCTCTCCCTCGTGCGCGTCGCCTCTCCAAGGACTTGCCAGCACGCACTCCTGCTCTCTCCCGTGAGCCGTCGCAGGATGGAGCTGCTGTGTTGCGAGGGCACCCGGCACGCGCCCCGGGCCGGGCCCGACCCGCGGCTGCTGGGGGACCAGCGTGTCCTGCAGAGCTTGCTCCGCCTGGAGGACCGCTACGTGCCGCGAGCCTCCTACTTCCAGTGCGTGCAAAAGGAGATCAAGCCGCACATGCGGAAGATGCTGGCGTACTGGATGCTGGAGGTAAGGCCCGGACCGGTCCCTTCTCCTCACCCCACCCCCACCTCCGGCTCCGGGCAGATCGAAGTTGCCCCGTTGAGGCATCACGATCCGGACCGAAATCTGCAAGATGCTTTGGCGGCCCAGACTTCAGGGGCCTGGTCTTTTCACACAGGCACCCTAGCCAGCTGCCTGTGCCCTGTCCCTTCCCTCTCCCCAATCCTTATCGGCTCCTTCTGTGACTGCCAGTCACTTGGCACTGTAACTAAACTTCACTTTGGGTCGGGAAAGCGGGCTAAGGGCCACTATTTCCCCTCTGGCTTTTCTTGGTGTCTCTTGCTTCCTTCCTCTCCCGGTGTTCTCGGAGAGCGCGTTTGGAAAACTCTGGACTCGACCGCCTTCGCCCCAGAACTGGTTCCTGTGTCTGTCGCGGGGTTCTGGCGGGGGAAGCTGGTGGGGGTGGCGCGCGCTCGGTTCCGGTCCACAGGGAAATGAAAAGTGCGGGAGACCGCGGCAGGAGTTCCCTCCCTTCCCCTTGGGAGTGTGTGTGCAGTGGGTGGTGGTAATGAGGGTAAGGTCCCAATTCTCTCTAGGTGACCCTTCCGTCCCCCTTCCGCTCGCCGTGGGGGGAGGGGAGCCTGGAATCCTTCGTGAGCAAGGGCTCCTCTCCTTTACACCCCCTCCACTCCGGGGTGGGGAGGAGGCCATGCAGAGGAAGTGGGGGGGGTCACCTTGGGGAGGGCGCATCCTCCTCGGTTATTGATACTTGTGACTGTAAGTTTATCCCCCTCTCTGTTTATTTTTTTGCTCCACATTCCACTCTCCCTCCACCCCCCACGCTGCTGCGTTTCGCTTGGTCCTTCCCTAGTAATGACTCGTGCGCCGTCCCTCAGGTGTGTGAGGAGCAGCGCTGCGAGGAGGATGTCTTTCCTCTGGCCATGAACTACCTGGATCGCTACCTGTCCTGCGTGCCCACCCGAAAGGCGCAGCTGCAGCTCCTCGGTACGGTCTGCCTGTTGCTGGCCTCCAAGCTGCGCGAAACCACGCCCCTGACTATTGAGAAGCTTTGCATCTATACGGACCAAGCCGTGGCTCCCTGGCAGTTGCGGGTGCGTGTGGAACCCCCCCCCCAACTCTTTGCCCCCCGCTCTCAACATACTGTCGCCCTATGTACTAGAAAAAGGACCGCGAGCTCACCCCTCACTCACCCACGCCCCGGGCCAGTTTTTTGGAAAAGAACTAGGGTGGGACAAAGGCCATGTAGTGAGTGTGGTTGTTGTGCTTGAGTTGCAGGCTTAAAAACTAAACGAACCCCCTTCCTCTGGCCGTAGTGAGGTTCCACTCCTAGCCCGGTCTTTCCCCCAGATAGCAACAAGTCCAATTGCCGGTCTATACACCAGTACTTGGCCTCTGGGTTTACACAGCCACCGTGAGTTATTTATTGGCAGCAGCAGGGCACGTCTGCACACCCCCACCGGAGTGGAATGTGCTTCACGTGGGGGAGGGGGCTGCCTTGCATGAGTCTTTATCCCCGGGTGGACTTTGTGATGGAAAAGCCTCCCCGAGCTGATTAAAGCCAGGCGCTGATTGCTGGAAGTGCTGAGGTGTTCTCATCCCTGCTAGCCCCAGAGACGGAGCCCCTTCCCCACCTCCCGTCCTTGTCTTCTGAAAAACGGGAGCAGCTGCCCTGGGCGGGGGGAAGGATTTCTGCCTTTGCTGCTCAGCCAAAGGCCAGAGACAGACAGACAGGGAGCTGAGCTGCAGCTGCTTCCGACGTGATAATGATGCCGGTCCCCTGGCCCTCCCACTCCGACCAAGGGCTTTCATAACCCAGTGGGGAGCCTGCTGTCACTCCTGTGGTTTGGGAAGTGGCTCCTTGGGGCCCCTTGCTGGGAACTTGGGCTGGGCTCCTCCAGGCGGGGCAGAAATCGGTTGGGTTCTGCCCTGCCCCGGAGGAGTCAGGGAGGAGGGTGGAGGAACTGCCTGGATCTGGAAGAGAGCATGAACATCATCTCCCACAGGGTCTGGGGGAGAGGGTGGCTGAGCTGGCACCTCCCTCCACCTTATTCTGTGGCTGGCCAAGCCTTCCCTGACCCTGAAAGGAGTCTCTGGGCCCCATCTCCTAGGGAGGAGGGCAGCAGGCAGACTGATGTGATTGGCTGGCTGGGAAGCTCGGGTACTGGGGCCCCTGACTGCTGTGAGTCGGGGAACTGGATTCCTCTTCCTGTCAAGCAGCTCTCACGGATGGGAGGCCTGAGTAGGGAATCTGGGAGGCCCCACGGCTCTTTGTGATGAATCTAGTAGTTTCCAGAGCCAGGGAGCAAGATGTTTTTGAGGGATTGGGGCAGGGAGGCAGGAGAGTTCCTCTTTGTGAAGAGATTAGGGTGGTCTACACGAGTGTGTATGGGGGGAGTTTTTCAGAATAGGCAAGTCCTTCTCCTCGAGGCCTGCGCTGTGAGTGGCCTGCGGTCAGAGTTGTGAGGGACCTCCAAGAACTCCAGCAGTCTCAGCCCTTGCACAGCAGAGGCTGAGGCCCAAGAAAGGAGGGGAAAATTCCAACTGCACGGCAATGACCAGAACGCCTTAAAGCCAGGGGTGAGATGTATGCTGCCAGCCGTGATGTTCTGGAAGTTAGGGCTGGGCTTCTCGTGTCTGGGTGTAGGGGAGGGGGACCACCTTCCCTCAGTGAGGACCTCACACACTCTAGTTGCCTCTTGCTCCCATGGAGGCTGGATGCTATTGGTTACCAGGGCAAGCTTCTGTGCCTTTATTTCTGGCTCTAGCCAAGTTTTTTTTTCTGTAGGGTTCCCTAAAAAACCTGGGACTGACACCTAGGTCATAGGACAAAGAGCAGAGCGACAGCTGTTGCTGGGGTCCTGGAAGAGGTTGGGTGGGGCTGACATTTCTACCTCATTGAGGAGTCAAACCCATGAGTTCCTTCCTGAGATAAAACAATGAAGAAATCCTCATGTGTGCAACTCGGAAATGCATCTCAGGCCAGGACTGGGAACCCCAGACAAATGGGCTGGGCTTGGGGCTCCTAGCCTCCTTCTAAGACCTCCCATTGGTTATGTAGGCTTGGGTAGGTTCCTCAGGGGTCATCTGGATTCATCCTGTTTGGCTTGGCCTCCCCGTCTTGAGACAGGACCCACCCCTGATGTCCCACAAAGGGGCTGTGGGTGGGGTTGGGTAACCTCCCCTTTGAGGAACCTCAGGAGTGCCTTATGCTCATTCTGTCTCCTTAAGAGACCCGCCTGAAATGCAGGGATGGGGAGGGAAGGGCTAGTGATGATAGCCCTCTTTCTGAAGTCCTTAGCTTAGGATCAGCTTCAACTCCCACTGGCCTCAACCTCGGGAGGGCCAGGAGGGATGTCATGTCATTCCAGCAGCCAGTGATGATGAAAGGGTGATCGAGTAACCGCCCCCGGCTCTTGCCTGCCCTGAACCCCTCATTCCACCCTTGCCACAACCCCTGCAGCCAGAGGCAGAACTGTGGATCTTCTGCTAGCCTCACCCCTTTTGCCAGCCTCTGACTCCATGCTCATTCCCCCACCCCCAGGAATGGGAGGTGCTGGTCCTGGGCAAACTCAAGTGGGACCTCGCTGCTGTGATCGCACACGATTTCCTGGCTCTGATTCTGCACCGCCTTTCTCTGCCCAGTGACCGACTGGCCTTGGTCAAAAAGCATGCCCAGACCTTTTTGGCCCTCTGTGCTACAGGTAAGAGCCTTGGACACATGCTTTTCCAATCTGAGGGAATCAGGATTTGAAGAAGTAGTAACCAGGAGATTGTTTCACTACTCAGAGCTATTTATATAGGATCTTGGTGACCCTGGGATGGAGATGAGGCACCGTACAGTGAGAAGTGATTTGCCTAAGGTCTCCACCCCAGCGTTTTGGGCACTCTAGTTCCTGGCAAGGTCCAGCCTGGGTAGATGGAAATTTTGCTGTCCACTCAGATCTCAGAGAAGGTTGGGTGGGGTAGAGAGGTTCACTGATGGCGTGCATACCTCGGTCAACTGCCAGCACCGTGCATACACACCGAGCCCTCCCCTTGGCTCTGAGACACCCCGCCCACCACTGGGGGTTCCCAGTATGAATTGAAGCAACCTGGCGTGTTGTAACAGGGACTAGGAAGTTTAAGATCGCTCTTCTCATGGTCCCCTCTCTTTTACAAGATTACACCTTTGCAATGTACCCTCCATCCATGATCGCCACAGGCAGCATTGGGGCTGCCGTGCAAGGCCTGGGTGCCTGCTCCATGTCTGGCGATGAGCTCACGGAGTTGCTGGCAGGAATCACAGGCACCGAAGTGGTAAGTCTCAGGCCCCATTCACAAAAAGCAGTGCTATCCCCCGAGTCCCCAGAAGAGGGTGGCATCCACCGCCGCCCCTCACCCCAACTCCCAGTGTACAACCTTGCCTGCTTCTGTGGCCTTTTATCTCCTGCCTCTGGAGAGGACTGGGTGGGGTGAAGGGCACTTCATGGAGCTGCCCCTCTCTTGCCAGGGGCGGGGGACTTGGTGTCAGATGCAGGGCTGCTCTCACACCCTTGCCACATCCTCTTGCCAGTTTCTGAGAACTAAAAACTCGATTCCTGGGCTGGGCTGTGGCCTAACCTCCCCAGACTTCCCGGTGTGCAGGGGGGTGGCCTGTCCTTACACCTGCCGGTTGTCACTGACCTTGTTGTTCTTCCTAGGACTGCCTGCGGGCCTGTCAGGAGCAGATCGAAGCCGCGCTCAGGGAGAGCCTCAGGGAAGCTGCCCAGACGGCCCCCAGCCCGGTGCCCAAAGCCCCCCGGGGCTCTGGCAGCCAGGGGCCCAGTCAGACCAGCACACCCACAGACGTCACTGCCATCCACCTGTAGCTTGGGACAGGCCCCCTCAGGTGGCCACCAAGCAGAGGAGGGGTCACTGCCACCCCCTCCCTTCCTCTTGGAACAATCCATGCCATATCTGAAGCCAGAGGGGGGCCCTTCCCCTCACAAAGCCCAGGGGGCCAGGTCCTGCCTATCCCCACAGTGTGCACTAAGGTGCTGGTTGGCCATGAGGGCTCTGCGTGGCCAGTCAGCGCCTCCTCCTTCCCACTTGACCGGCTTGGCTGTTCTGGGCCATGCTGGTCAGAGAAATCCAAACAGGTAAAATCCATGCACCAGCGTTCCCTTTTGAGTCCCGCCTCTCTCCGGGGCTCTAATCCTCTCAATTGCCAAAATGCCTTAGTACCTTCCAAGGGTGTTGCCCCCGCTAGGGTCAGTGCGTTTGGGTTTGGGTCCTTCAGGCATCCTGATAGACACGCACGAAGAGCCAAATCGATGGCTGCCGTATAATCCATGCTCCCAGCTGCTCTTAGAGGGAACAGCCTAGGCCTTGGTCAGAGGGGCAAGAACCTACAGATTCTAGCTTTGCTTTCTGCTTAGCTTCTGTGATTGAAGGGTCTTGAGGGGTGCTGGTGGTCATTTTAATTTATTGCTTTGAATACAACTGTAAGAGGGTACAGTGAGGCCTGTACCCCACAAGCGGCGGTAACCCTGGTGGTTGCTATTTTCTTCCCCTCTGCTACCGCTTTGTGGTCCAGGAGCTGCTACAGCCTGGGTTGGGGCCATGCCTTCCTCTCCTGAGGCTCTGCACCTCATCTTCCAGCAGAGGGTTTAGGCAGGGATGGATGCTCTGGAGGTGACAGAGCCTATTTGGAGAGGTCAAGCCCTGTTGACACAGGTCTTTCCTTAGGCCACAAGGTTTGGGCTGGTGGCCCATTTCTATCATGCTGCCTTAATAAAGATTCCGGAATAAAGCTGGCTTTGGCTCTTGCAGTCCCTGGGATTGTGTGTAGAGATGGGGGAGTGGGGACACGTGTGTGTGTGTGTGTGTGTGTGTGTGTGTGTAGGGGGCATGAGTTAGATAGACCTGTGCACTCCTACAGATTATGGCATAAGGAATAGCCACTGTACCCAAAGACTAACAGGAAAACAGGGCTGGTCAATTATCTGGAACAAACATTTTGTTGTACTGCGGCATGGTGGTCTATTCCTGCAGTTTTCAGTAGTACTCACAGGGCAGAGGAAGACATTCTAGGCTAGCTTGTGCTACATGGCAAAGTCCTGCGCCCAAAAACACATGGTTCAGCAGCTGAGAGCCACCAGCTACCCCGAGAACCTGGAATTGACCACAACCACTCTAGTCTCGGAGTCTGATAGCATGCAAGAACCATGCTCATATACATTAACACAACTATGAACGGGGTAGTGTGTGAAAACACTTCCCCTGGTTCTATCCTCAGTACTGCAGAGAGGCAAACTGCTGGAGATGGAATACGGGGAGTGATTTGGCTTGGCTGAGTTAGGTGTCATTTTCTTTGCATTTACCTGTTGTTTCCAAGATGAACTAAGAGTGTAAGCAAATGTAAATGTCTTAATAGACCGAAACTTTTCCAGATACATGAACTGGATTGTAACAGGTGAACCTTCTCCCAAGCAAAAGTGATACATAGGATGACTTGGAGTCAGTCAGCTGTGATGTAAGTGGGTGGGACATGGATGTGCTCCCCCATTTTGGGGGGGGGGATGGGATAGGTTTTCACTGTACAGCTAGCCCTGGCTGGCCTCAAACTCAGAGATTCATGCCTGGCTGCAACTAACATTTCATACCAATTTCCCCAAGCCATGAAAACAAATGAAGATTGTTCTTTGCTCATCAGCAAACAACAGGCACTGGACCCTGGTCTGTCAAGCAACCTAGAGCTCTTGGTGCTCAGAAAGCAGGACCTTTTCTGACTCACTGCTGCTCGTCCTTGAGAAGGGGCCTGCCGCTGCCATGCAGTCCTCCCTGCAGCGATGGCGGCTACCACCTTTCCCATGGACTGCTGCTCTGCGGCAGCCGAAGCTGGTGTCCCCCAAGGAGCCCACCAACATGTCATGTCAATGGCAGGCGGCTCGCACACACTTCCTCTTTGTGGAGAGCAAGGGAAAAGGCTAGAGAGACGCTTTTGAGAAATAAGGGGTAGGGTGAGGGGCCTGTGGGACTAAGAGCCCACTTCTCAGAACTGGGAACAGGGAAGAGCCACCTCTAGCCATGGGGCAGGCAGGCACCTCCAGCGACTGTACCAAACACAGAGCTCCAATAAATAACTGCCCTGCTTTATCTACAACCCAGTGAGCTGACAGGGACTGCAGAGAGCGGCCTTAGACCAAGTGCCAGCTGGGTTGTGGGGATGCTGAACTGGGGTGACTCCAGTGAGCTTCTGGAAGTGAGCGAGGACGAAAGCCCAGAATGGCAGAGAGCCACCCGGATCAGCCTGCCCAGGACCGACACCACAGATGGCACCCAACCCTCAGTGCCTTGATCTGGGTCTTTGCATCTTGGGTAACCAGCTGGGGTCTTGGTGTCCCCCCACGCCCCCTGGACCACGGCAGGTGACGGTTCTATTCCATGGTGACGGGAACATCCTCCACATCTCTGGGGACTGCACTCTGAAGCTCACGCCTGATTTCGGGAGACAGCTGGGGGTGGGGCTGCAGTCGAAGCAGTTCCAGGAGGGCCTCCTTCTGGTCCGTGGCCAAGTCGGCCTTGTAGCGCTGTGCCAACGTCAGAAGGCACTGGTGCCAGAGCACAGGCAGCTGGCGCTTCTCCGTTCGGAAGCTCAGAAAATGGAAGACCAGGGCGTCTAGCACCCGGTAGGGCAACGCGTACTTCTTATCCAGCAGCAGGCGCAGGAAAATGCTGTTGGCGCCGCTATATTCCATCTCAGCAATCTTCAGCATGGCTGCACTAGAAGGGACGGTGGAGTCAGAGATGCTGGAGCAAGTCTCCTCCCCAGCCTGACCTTTACCTACAGCCTTCCCGACGGTGTCATCACAGCTCGCCAGATACTCATTACGATACCCCGGGATTCTCTGACCATCTCTCCAGCCAGCCCACACCCCACCTCTGGCTTGGACAGCCATCCATCCATCCCTACATTCAACTACAGAGTGCGTCCGAATGTCTCACCACCGCCACCTTTCATCACACTTTCTTCCTTGCTATCCATTCACTCACGCCATCATTCAACTGTTTCCTGAACACGTACTGTGTGCCAGGCCCCAGGATCCCGCTCTTGAAGACCTTCTATGCTACGGCGGTATCACACACGCCTTTAGGTAATCACAGCTCCTCCTCCACTTTTGCCCAAGCCCTGGCCTCTCCTCCTCCACCTCACCATCACTACCTGGAGTGCAGTACTGGGATGGAGCACTTGGTGATGATGCTGCCCACGATGATGGCTTCTCGGAGGGTACAGGTGCCGGACTCGCACAGCGGGATCAGGATTCCTAGGCAGAGTCACACACAGTGACCTTTCAGTGTGCGGTGAGGGAGACGAAGCAGTCCCAGCCACCCCGTCACCTAAGGACCGCCGATGGACCACAGCCAAGCGCCCAGCCGCTCTGACCCCCCTCCTCTCTCCCCTAGGAGTGGGTTTTCACCTTTGAACCACGCCCCAGGCTTGAACAGGGCCTTCTTGAGCGCCATGTAGAGGTGGAAGTTGAGTCGTTTGTACTCGGCGATGTCGTCGCGGACTCGGGGGAGCAGGACGAGGTTGTAGAAGCGCTGAGCCATGCGTTCCTTCAGGTTGGAGGCAAAAATCCTGGCGGGGTGGGGGTTCCCGAGTCACAGAGGTGTCTGGCCCTTTAACTCTCCCCGGGGATGGTGCATGTAAGACGTTTTCTAGTTCAGAGAGGGGCGTGTGGGAGCCATGTGCATTCCACACCCTGGTCAGCTTAAAGAGGAAACGCACGGCAACACAGGATGCCCCCAAATCAGAGCACGTACTGTCCCTCTGGTGTTTTGTTTTGTTTTGATTTTCTGTCTGTGTGTTTGGACTGCATGTATGTCTGCACCACATATGTGCCTGGTACCCATGGATGCCAGAGGAGAAATCTAATTTCCTGCATTTAGAGATGGTCGAGAGCCACCATGTGGGTGTTGGGAACCCAGGGCTTCTAGAAGAACAAGTGCTATTAACCACTGAGCCACCTCTCCAGACCCTAGTGTTTTTCTTAGAAGTGCTGGTGCTTGAACCCATGGCCTTCTGTGGCTGAAGCGAGGCGCCTCGAGCTACTGCCCCAGTCCCGTGTTTGCTGGCTCCGCAGCTACTCGATCTCCTTCCCCACCACCAGGGATCTGAGCTTAGCCGGAGAATCAGAATTCTCCAGCTACTCTCCCACACCAGGGCTGTGTCCTGGAAGCCACATAAGCCCTCCCCATAGAAGTCTACCCTCGGACTCTGCCCTCGAAATGCAAGAGGAGAGGTTAGGGACTGACAGGAGCAAATCCAAGGGGGAGGTCCATGGGCCACCGATGGCACAGCTAAGAGAGGCAGAGCCCGCACAGCCACCCCTGCCCACAGCACAGCCACCCCTGCCCCCAGCACAGCCACCCCTGCCCATCTACACTACCTGGTGGCTTGATACATGGCAGCTGCTGTCCAGGCCTCGGGCTCGGTGACATAGAGGATCTGCTCCCAGTTGGACAGCGCAGGGATGATCTTAAAAGCCTTGGGCAGTTTCCCACTGCGGTACTTGGATAACACCTGGTGATGAGGGAGGCAGAACTCTCAGCACCAGGGCTGAGGTCCTGGCCCGTCGCTGGGATTTTATACGCTGCCTCACTTACCTTCAGAACAATCCCAAAAGGCTCACTTTTCAGGTGACCGGTTTTGTGACTTCCGGGCAAGAGGCAGCGCAAGAACCTGAGCCCACCAGTTCTGCCTCAGTCAGGTATCATGTGTGACAGCCCCCTGTTAGGACACCCCACCACACATGCCCTCACAGCCCTTACCTCCCGGACTCCTCTGTAGACCTCCAGGACTCGGGGATCCAGCTGAGGCATAGGGAAGCCCGACACCTCTGACATGACCGTCTCCACCTCTGTCTGCTTCTCAGTCAGCTTCTCCATGATGATGTCAGCCAGAGTGCGCCTACGGAGATGAAGGGAGAAGGATGAGGAGCTAGGGTCACTTTCCAGGAAGCTGTAAAGTCCCCTCACCCTGTTCATGGAAGGGACGAAGAAGGGAGGGAGGAGGGTAGGTAGGCAGCCGTGGGGGCACAAGCCTATAATCCCAACACCCAGGAGGCCGGCAATCTCTGAGTTTAAGGCCAGTGTGGTGGTCTTCATAGGGAATTCCAAGTCAGCTGGAACTATATAGCGAGATCCTGTCTCAAAGGAAAAAAGAGAGCTACAAAACAGCCCCAAACAAAACAGGAATGCTTCAAACTTCCATGTCCTCCTTGCACAGGGGCCACGCTGGTCTCTGCTATTGTCCCACTGTTAGCATAAGAGCGGCTAGAAGTGAGCAACGTACAATTCCTCTGGACGCTGACACACTGGGATCCTGCCTCAGCTCCCTCTGTCCACTTAGCCGCCACAAGCTGCCGCAGAGAGCGAAGGACCTGAATCTCACCACACTTAAGCCAAAGCCAGCGTGGTTAGTTAGTTAGTTAGTTAGTTAGTTAGGTCCTTGGACTCTGCGGTCAGTTCTAGTCAGGCGTCCCTCCGCTGTCCCGTGTGATCTCGGGCCTGTCACTTTACCCCTCCATGCCTCCCTCAGCTTCCGAGCTGGGCGGCGGTGACAGCAGGAATAGCTTGTCCGGTCAATGGCGGGGTTAAACGACAGACTGCCGTGGACCACTCACAACTGCCAGTCCTGAGTCACCATGGATCCAAGGCTGCCGACTCCAAACTCACCCACCACCGTGGGCAGAAGGGGGAGTACTGTCACAGTACACACCAGAGCTCTGGCCTCGGGGGTGTGACCCACATCTCCATTCCTTGCCAAGACTCCAGGGAGCTTCATTAAGGAGACTACAGCAACACCTTCCCTCCACTCAGAAATAGTCCTAAGACCAACTGCATCCTTCTCAGCCTCTTTCAATTATTTTTTTAAACTTTATTGTTCCTGTTGTGTGTGCTCATGTGGAAGTCAGAAGACCACTCTGGAGCTGAGTTTTCCTTCCGCCTTGAAGTGAGTTCAGGGATTGAACTCACATCACCAGGCTTGTGTAACAAGCACGCTTCACCCACTGCCATCTTGCCGCCTGCCTCCCCTTCTTCAGCCTCTTTACGGCTGGAGAGACTTCTCAGTGGTTAAGTGCTCTTGCAGAGGACCTGGGTTCAGTTCGCATCATATACACAGTGGCTTTAACGCCTGTTCTCGCTCTCCTGACCTTCATGGGCACCAGGAATGCACATACAGGCAAAATACTCATACACATAAAATAAAGTGAAGAATTCAAAAAATAAAATTGTAATATAATTACCACCATAGTGGGTTATAGTCTGCTGATGGCATCTTCAGAATTCACTGATGTGTACTTAAAGTTGCCCCTCAGTTGGGAGTGTCACTTAGTGATTAGCACACAGGAGACCCTGGGTTCTAG